TAACTATTGTTTTCAGAAATTATTAAAAAATTAATTAATTACTTAAGTAAATTTTCATTTTACTTATTTAATGAATTTTTTTTAACTTGATTGACAAAATTAGAAATTTTTGAAAATTTAAAAGCAAAATATAAAAAATTCAAGGACAAAAATTAAAATTCCAGGACTTTCAAGGACATTCCAGGACATTTTTTCAAATTCCAGGACATTTCCAGTACTTCCAGGACTTCCAGGACTAGTAGACACCCTGTTATTATAAATAGTAAAAGTTGGTTAATCAGTAGTAAAAGACATTTTCAGTCAGACAAAATTATTCAAATTTGATTTCAGTAGCAAAAGTAGCGTTAAATCAGACTTTAGTTTTTTTAGTTCTTGTTATTTTTTAATCAGTAGTTAAAGTCACATTTAGTCAGACAAATTTTAAAAAAAAATTTACTTATAAATACAATTTAAAAATTTTTTCAGTAGTAAATGTAAAGTTAAACCAGATTAATTTATCAATTTATTGACTGCCAGTAATTGAAGACATATTTAGTCAGATAAAAATATAAATTATTTAAGCTTGTCAGTAGCAAAAGTAAAGTTAGACGATTTTTATTCTTTTTATTTTTATACTCAGTAGTAATAGTCTGTTGTAGTCAAAGTTTCAAATTTTAGTAAATTTGTAAATAAATAAATTTTTGTATTAGTAGAAAAATAACGTCTTAGTCAGACTGAAAATTTTTAAATTTAAAGCTACCCACTTGGAAAGATTCCACGAAAAGTGCCCCCTGGAGGTTCTCTCAGAATTCCGCCGGAACTTCCACCGTAATTCCGTCGGAATTCCATCGGAGTTCCGACGGAATTCCGATTAATTTTTTTTTTCAAAATTTTTAGAGTCCTAATTCCGTTGGAATTCCGTCGGAATCCCATCGGAAATTTTTTGGAACTCCGATGGAATTTCGACGGAATTACGTTGGAAGTTCCGGCGGAATTCTGATAGAACCTCCAGAGGGCACTTTCCGGGGAATCTTTCCAAGTATATAAGTAGTAACAACCATTATTAGTCAGACAAGAATTTTTTATAAGTTTTTCTATTAGTAATAATTAGAGTGAATTGTTTCAAATTCTTGTCATTTTGCTATTAGTAGTAAAAGTAAAATTTATTCATACTGAATTTTTCTAATTATTCCTCATCAGTAGTAAAAGACGGCTAAGGTTAGACAAAATTTTAAATTCCTGTCGGCTTGTAAACAGTAGTAAAAGTAAAGTTTAGTCATACTGGACATTTCAAATTCCTCATCTAATTTTAAAGATTTGTTTGAAATTTTTATATAAGTAGAAAAATCTGTTTTAGTCAGACAAAAATTGTACATTTTTTACAAGTAGTTGAAGTAATGTTTAGTCAGACACGGTTTTTTAATATTTATTTAATTTGCATATTTGAAATAAATAAATATATAAATAAATAAATTAGTAGTATAAATAAGTTATAGTCCGACTAATCGATTAAAACTTCTTTTTTATAAGTAGTATAACTAAATTTTAGTCAGACTTAACTTTTTTAACGTTTTAATAATTTTTACCTAAGTAGAATAATCAGTTTTAGTCAGACAAAAATGCCAGATTTTTGTCAAGTTTAGTCAGCCTCGACTTTTTAAATTTTGTCTAATTTGCATAATGAAATAAATAAATATTAGTAGTGCAAATAAGTTATAGTCAGACTAATCGATTAAAAATCCTTTTTTATAAGTAGTAAAATTAATGTTTAGTCATACTGAACATTTTAAGTTTTAGTAAATTTTACCTAAGTAGAAAAATCACTTTTAGTAAAAAATCCTAGATTCTTTTTACTAGTAGTTAAAGCAAAGTTTAGTCAGCCTCGACTTTTTAAAATTTACCTAATTTGCCTATCAGTAGTAAAAATAAGTTTTAATCAGACAAATCGAATTCATTTATTCTAACTGCTCTCTAAATCTGAATTAGTAAAAATATTCACTAATTTGAATTAGTGACTTACTTTTTGCTTCTGAATTAGTAAAATTTTACTAATTCTTAGTAAAATTTTACTAATTCTTAGTAAAATTTTACTAATTATTACTAACTTTTACTAACAATTAGTAAAATTTAACTAATTATAAAGCAAAAAGTGAGTCACTAATTCAAATTAGTAAACATTTTTACTAATTCAGATTTAGAGAGTGGTAAAATTAAATTTCAGTCAGTTCATTTTTTTTATTTTACTACTAAAAAAAAATTTTTAGTTAAAAATTTCAATAATTTTTACTTTTTTAGAAAAAATTAAATTAGAAATAAGAATAAATTGTTATTAGAATGAAAAAATATTAAACATATGTTATTATTTGCCTCTGATTAATTTATTTTTAACAATTAGGTCTCAGCACTTAATTCCAATATATTCTATAAAGGGTTATGAAAAGTAGTTTGAGACTTGAGGCATTGATTTGAGTCCGCATGAGGGAAGCATTTACAATATTGGCCACGCCTCTCTATTCCCCTAAATTTATGCTGAAACTGATAGGGGTGAATGGGCTAATCTATACCACCTTGTAAATTGTAGCACTTCTCCTATTTCACGCGATACTAATCGCACCCACTTGAGTACATATATACATATATATGCCCTCAGACATTGTGTTTCTGAATCTTGTGTAAGCTTTTGTGTGTGTATATGAGTTTCAATACCAAATATAATTCAAAATACAATAACTAGGTCCAAGAGAATAAAAAAAAAAAAAAGAAGAAAAATTTCTATATTATTAAAATATATATGAAACGATAAGAAATAATTAGATATTATAAATTGCAATATCTAAAGAATTTTTCAAAAGAATTTTTTTTAAATAAAAAATTATTTTATATACGAGAGATAATATGCAAATAATAATAGAAAATGTATATATATAATAATAAAGGATTACGCAAGAAGTAATATGAAATACATATATAAAAATGAAAAATAGAAAACTCGTCAGAGTTTTGTTGTTGAAGGATTCCTTTCTTTATTGTGTTTATGTTTTGCTTACTGAACCTCTTCGCTTGAAAAAAAAAAAAAATTTTTTTTCGTTTTTTTTTTTGCCTATTGTGAAAAAGAACAATGGAAGGAACGAATTTTTCAGTGTTGTATATATATATATATAGAATACTCCCTAAGCCGAGTGAATTTATTTCTTTTTTTTTCGATAAAATTATCGCATGAGAACTTCAAATATCATTTCTCGTTATATATTTGAATTGTCTATTTTTATTTTATCAAAAATAGTGTTTTTTTTCGTCTTATTATGTTTATTGTTTGAAAATAAATATAAATTTTGGAATAATTATTTTCTTTGTATCAAAATGATTTACTCATATAGAGAGAAGAGGGAAATGATAGAGAAAAATAATTATAAAATTATCAGTTTTTTCTTTCTTGACAGAAAGGCGCTAACAAAAAAAAATATGATTATAATAATATTAAAATAATATTTTATAAATTTTATTTGATTTAATCAGAAAAATGATGTATTTGTCACAGAGACAAATAATTATTTGTTTCAATTAAATTTTATTTGCGATAAATAAAATTTTATTTATGACAAATAATAATATTTATTTACGCCAAATAAATGGGCCCTAAGACAAATATATATACGTTTATTTAAATCAAATATATATTATATTTGGTGCAAATAAATTATTTCTCTGGATATTGAAATAAATTTATTAGTTAGTACTAATCGAGGTACTAATTTTATTTGTATTCAAATAAATTTTATTTGCATTAAAATAAATTTTATTTGTATTCAAAAAATATTGATATTCTGGTTCGAATAAATTTAATTTGATATTCAAATAAATATATTTATATTTGGTTCGAATAATAATTTATCTCTTTTAGTAAAATTCAATTTCCTCACAAGTTAGGAAAGTTCTAAATTCCTTCGTTTGTCTCCCACTAAATATTTAACTGTTTTCTGAAAAAACTTTACAGCGATTTGTTTTTCCTGTATAGACAGAAAAATTTCTATTTACACTTTTTATATTTTTTTTATTCACAGAAATTTATTTTTCCAAAGTAAAAAATTTACAAAACCCACAGTGAAAAAAAATTTATTTAATTAAATTAATCGGTTTTTTACTATTATCAAATAAATATTTACATGATTTAAGTAAATATTTATTTAATAATAGTCAATAGTAACCGATCGGTTTTTGCTTATGAATTAGAAAAATTCTACTAACTATTAGTAATTTTTACTAACAATTAGTAAAATTTAACTAATTCTAAAGCAAAAAGTTAGTCACTAATTTCAATTAGTAAACATTTTTACTAATTCAGATTTAGAGAGTATATTAGGAAAAATGTTTATTAGGAATATACAATTAGGAAAAATGTTTGGTACGAGAAAATATTCTTCGAATGCTTGTTAGCGCTATGAAAAAAAAAAAAATTTAAATTAATTCCACCTAGATTAATTTTTTATTCAAACCAAATATAAATAAAAATTTACTTAAAGCAAATATTCATTTACCACTGAGACAAATATATATCTATATTTTTTTTACTTAAATAAAATTAAACGTGAAAAAAGTACCGAAACTTAATGAAAATTCACTTCTGTTTTTCGTTTACATGATTAAATTTTAAAAAAAATACAGAATCAATTTTTTATTTTTGTATTGTAACAAAAAGTAAACTATATTTGAGTTGAAGGCTATGAGGAAAAATGTGAATTGTATACAATTAGGGAGAAAAAGAAATATAATTGTATATTAATTTATCAAAATTGTTCATTTGTGGTATAGTTTTGTAAAATAAAATAGAAAAAGGAAATGAGACAGGATATACGAAATTCCATTGTGAATTCGAGGTGGGAAATCGTCGTAGAGGTGCTGTTAGCTGATCGGCATTTTAGGGGTTGAAAAGGAACTAGGCTATCATAGAAGAGAATAGGGGATGAATTGGAATAGAGAGAAGTTCCTCTCTCTCTCTCCTCCCTGGATGCAGAGGGCTTTACTTTCTCTTTGAGAATGCTGCTACTGCTGCTGCTGCTGCTGTTGGCGTTGGTTTCCACTGTTGGAAGCAGAGCCGAGGTGTATTGATCGGTGGAAACGGGCAGACGACCGCGTCTCTTGTCTCTTTTCCTCTTCATCTCTACCACTTTCTCTCTATCTCTCTATCTCTCTATCTCTCCTTTTCCCTTGCACACACTGCAAATTCCACGATTCACGCCTACTTAGCTACGTCGCAACGAATGAACGCGACAGACTATAACCTTCAATGAGTATTTGTGTAAGCTCACATGTAATGGTATTTCACATGTGTATTTATAATAATTTCTATTTTCGTCTAAATTAACAGTATTTTCCAAATTTAAACATTAATTCCAAATTTTTTGTCTTTCAATTTGAATTTTCAATTTGAATTTTCAATTTAAAAATTTTGAATTTAAAAATTGATTGCGCAGAAAATTATAAGATATTAAAATAAGCTTATTATTTTAATCAAATTTTGCTTATTTTATAATACCAAAATGGATTAAAACACCGTCCGACACAATTTTTGACCCACAAAAAAATTTAACATTTTCGGAAACTAGGACCCAAAAAAAATACATCTGGCCGTTTTGCTAGATCAAGTCGTTTGTGGTTTTTAGGGGTGAAAACAACCCCTAAATGAAAAGTGACAAGATATCTTTTAAAAATTATTAATATTTTATAAAACTTGGTATCTGCCACCCAGAGAAATGATTTATTTGAACCAAATAAAATATATTTGAGTTAAATAAACGTATATTTGTCTCAGAGCCTACTAACTTATTTATTTGGCGTAAATAAAAATTTTATTTGTCAGAAATAAATTTTTCTTTGGCTCAAATAAATTTTTTATTTCAAATGAAATAAAATATATTTGCAACAAATAAATGAGTTAGTAGACTCGGAGACAAATATACCATTTTTCTGAGTGCGAGTATTTTTTTTGGGTCCTAGTTTCCGAAAATGTTGGATTTTTTGTGGGTCAAAAAAAAAAGTTGAATTTTGTCGGACGGTGAAATAAGCAAAATTGGATTAAAATAAGAAGCGTTGCAGCTTATTTTAATGCCTTTTAATTTTCTCTGTGTTCCATAGAAAATCATTTTCATTTTCGAAAATTTTATTATAGATATTATTATTTTATAGGTTAAATTTTTATTTTTCAAATTGGCATTTGAGAGAATTTCTTTTTAAAATATTAAATAAAAAAAAAATTCCAAATTAAAATTCAGTAAAATTAGAATTTTTCTAAATAAAAAATTGAATAAAGAGAAATAATATATGTGAAATAAAAATTCTCTCAAATGGAAAATACGACATCTAAAAAAATCGTTATCTAAAAATTCTCCAAAAAAAGTAGTTTAAAAATAAATTCTACTAAATGCTAATTTGAAAAATAAAATAACAAAATAATTCTAGTTCTCAATGAGAATGTAAAAATAGTTTAATTTCCTCAATTTAAAAATAGAAATATCAAAAAAAAAAAAAGATCCAATAAATAAAAAATTACAATTTTATTCTCCTCAATGAATAATAGAATGAGAGCTTCGAATACGTGACTGTGTATTTACGAAAAGGATAAATAAATTGATCAACATATTTATGTAACACACAGAAAGAGCAAAAAAAAAAAAAATTTCTAAGAACGTCAGTAGAATAAAAATAAATTCGTGCAAAAGGGAGGCAAAAAGGTTTCCTTACAAGTATAACTCAGACTTGTAATTGAATATAGACAATAGGCCTTTGATCATCAAAATTAACAAAACTTGCCTCTGGGCAAAGAAATTTTCAGCTTTAAATTATATTAATCATAATTAAAACAAAGCATCTCACAAAGCTTCTTAAGAGTATTTTACTTTTATAAGTAAAAAATTGATTATATTTTATTAATTAAATTTTATATGAGCTCTTTTACTAAATTTGTAATCGCGCCAATAGAAAATAACAAGTCTATTCCCAAAAAGACAAGCAAATAAAATGAGAATTTATTTTAATATACATAAGAAAACTTTTTGACTCATATAGAAAAACTCTTCAAGCTCGTCAAATAAAACCAAAGGTCAAACATATATATCTATATATATATACTCAACTTTTATCTTATCTGGAAAACAATATATCAAGCTATCTTGATTTATCGAGAGTTGACAAAACTAAACTTCTCTTTCTATTGTCAATGATCCATCAATCTTCAAAATTCAGCCAATAAAAAAGGGCAATTTCAAAAATTGTCGAAAATTGTTTTTCAATTCTCGTTAAAAAAAATAAAAAACTGTTACTTTTTAAAAAAATGTTTTTTGAAATACCATCAATAAGAATACGATATTATTTTTTTTCGAAAACAATTACTAAACTATCACAATGAAAAAAAATTATTTGATTCAAATAATCGGTTACTTGACAATTATTTATTAAAAAAAAAATAAAGAAATAAAAATAAATAAATGCATTAAAGTGTATTTGAAATAAATATCTTTTAATTGACTCGAATAAATAATTGTTTGATAAAAATAAATCTTTGAAATAATTTTTATTTAAATCAATTAAACTTTTTTTTAATTAATAATTTTTGTATTTAAAATAAATACACTTTTCATTAACTAAAATAAATAATTTATTAATTTAAATAAATAATTATTAGATACAAATTAAAAATTATTTGGACTAAATATAATTTTTATTTGACTCAAATAAATAATTATTTGTTATACAAAGTAAAAAATTTTTTGTTACAAATAACAATTACTTGATACAAATAAATAATTATTTGTTATAAATAAATTTATTTGGACTAAATATAATTTTTATATGACTCAAATAAATAATTATTTGATATACAAAGTAAAAAATTTTTTGTTACAAATAACAATTACTTGATACAAATAAATAATTATTTGTTATAAATAAATTTATTTGGATCAAATAATTTTTATTTGATTCAATTAAACTGCAGTTGAATCAATTTAACTGTATTTTAATAAATAATAATTTCTGTATTTAAAATAAATACACTTTTCATTAACTAAAATAAATAATTAATTAATTTAAATAAATAATTATTTGATACAAATAAGAAATATTTGGACTAAATACAATTTTTATTTGAATCAATTAAACTATTTTATAAACAAAAATTTCTGTATTTAAAGTAAAAATAATTATTTACATAAATAATTTGGACTACGGGAACTAATTTTGTAAATAAATAAAATCCCTTTTAATTGACTTAAATAAATAACTATTTAATATAAATAAATATATTCGGACCAAATATTGGACCAAATTTTATTTAAATCAATTAAACAGTATTTGAATCAATAATAATTTCTCTATTTAAAATAATTATTTGGTACAAAAAAAATTTTTAAACGAAATAATTTTTATTTGAATCAATAATTTCTGTATTAAAAAAAAATTAATTAACTCAAATAAATAATTATTTGTTAAAAATAAATAATTATTTGTTATACAAATAAATATTTATTTATACCAAATATAATAATTATTTGTTACAAATAATTATTTATTTAATAATAAAGTAAACGATTATTTGAATTAAATAAATTTTTTATTCAATTTTATATATTTACAAAAAATTAATAATTTTTTTTTTTCCAAAACTAAACTATATTATTAGTACTCTCTTTTTATTGAGTACATTTTGTGAATACAAAATGAAGAAAAACGTTTTTTGATTAATTGAAGGCCTATTAGAAGTTTCTAAGTGCTTTAACTTTTCAGAAGTATTGATTTGGTGACACGTGTTTGAGAATGAGTAAAGGGGAGCAATAAAGAGAGGGTGTAAATGTAAGCAGCTACTTAAGTTTCGAATTATAGTATAGAAGGGGAACTTTCCCTCATGTATACAAGTGACATCGATGATCTCGAGCCAGGTGGTCACCGTATGACTGAGATTTAAAAATAAATACGTGGTAACCTCTTAAAAAAAAAAAAAAATCTCTCGTCTCTGTGGGGGGGTTAGGGTGCCATGAAAATGACAAGACCTCCACATAAACCTCATAAATATATAAGACAAGCACCCAATTTTACTCAAAATGAAATTCTTTCATTTTTATTCCCCCACCCCCCTCTTTTTTTTATCGTCACTATAAACTTCCAAATGTACAAGACCTAATTTTCTCTAAGAAGAAAAATATTTTTTCAAAAGGAATTTTTTTTACCAAAAAATTCTTTTCTTTCTCAAAAAAATGTATTTTTTCAATTTCTAAACATTCTTTTCCTGAAAAAAATTTCATAATCATTTCTTTTTTTATTTTTATAATCATTTTTTTTTTTTAAATTTTTAAAGAAGAAATGTTTGAAAAACAATATATAAAAGAAGAAAGTTTCAAATTTAATTTTCCATACGAGCTTCACTGATGGGAGCCAAAGGCGCATAAAAAAACGGAAGCTGCGCCAGATCAAAAAAATCGAATGTGGTAAAAGTTAAATCTCACTCTCTTTTTTTTTCTCACTCAAGTTACTTTCGAAGCGAGGGAAAAAAAAATTTTATGGGGCTAAAAAGATTTTCAAAGTTTAATAAGAGGCAAATTGAAGGATGACCGTTAACCTAGTCTTGCCAGAGAGAGAGAGAGAAAAAAGAAAAAAAAATTACTAATAAGAAAATGTTTTTAAAAGGTATTCGCTGCTAATTATTATATGTAATGAAATTAAAAAACTCTTTACATCTATTTTAAAATTTTTTTTTCACAGTTAATTTTCAACTTTTCCACTTATAAAAAATCTTTTACAATATATCTAAGCGTGAAACGGATAAAAAAAAAATTGTCAAAATTGCACCTGAGGGAATTTAAAAATTTATTTTCCAAAAAAAAAAAAAAAGTGTGTTTCTTTTTTGAGAAAAAGCTTTGTGAAAATTCTTGGTTGTTGAAATTAAACGAAAATAATGAGGACGTGTCTCATTTTCTTCTCCCTCAAGAAATTCGACATTTATACCCCCCAGTCTCTATCTCTCTCTATCTCTATCTCTCTCTTTCTCTTTTCTCTCGTGAAGTGTTGGCAAGTTTCTGGGGAAACGAGGATCAAACATAATCTTCTAAACTTTGCAGATATCCCCGAGTGGAGAACAAGAAGCCTTTGGCTTGGATCATGTTCGTGG